TTCGCCAAGCTTATTCTTCGACTTTTTATTCGTGGAGATTTGTTAAAGCTCCGCGAAAGGAGAAATTTTTTTCATCGTGAACTAACGAAATATCGAAAATAACAATGGAAGAATGTTTGTCTAGTCGCCCTAATCTCAAAAAAAAAAAAAAAAAAAAAACATACAGTGGGCTGTAAAAATCACTTCCTATTGAAATGAATCCGTACCTTTTTTATTATACAAAATTAATAATAACTTAGTCGTAATTTGTAGCAGAGGTGGCTAACTGGCGGCCCTTACCCCCACTCTTCTGATCGCTAGCACTACCCCCTCCACTGCGTCGATCTCCCCACTATACTGAAATTTCCTCGCCGTGCGTGAGAGAGTGGGGCTCACGCAGTGGAGGAGGAAGCATGGCCGCCACGTTAACACGTTACGGCTCTGATTTAGAGGGTGATGGATATCATTTCTTTCCTTCTGCGAGATCATCAACGCAGAAGGCCGAGCGATAATGAAACTGAAATGGCGTACTTTCGTCAGTTTCGTTCGAGGAACGAGTTTACCTATCTTTTTTGTAATTTTGGCTAAAGATACGTTTACGTTATTTGTAAAATAATAATAAGTCGAACACGCGTGTCCGTCATCACGTTTTTACAGTTCCGAAAACAGAAATGTCGACGTGGGAAAACATCGAACCAGGCGCGAAAGTGACGACACAAACTGACAAAAATGAAACACGCGTGACGAAATTGATGACAAATTCTCCCCTCCCGAAGTCGTTCTTTCACCCTCTCCTTCCAACTGACACTTGGTGGTTTTATTAACCAGTAAGCAGTAGAAACCAGTCGAGGAATACGTCGCGAAACATTTAGAATCGCAAGGAAAGAAGAATGGCCCTCGCCGGGGATCTCCGCGACAAATTATCGCTAGGTTGTCTCGCTCTCGCAGCCACTACTACTAGACGAAGTGGAATGGTGTTTTGTTCTGCGGGGGGAGAACCGAAACTACAGACTCGTCGAGTGTAATAAAAAGAATTGCAGCGAACGCGAGGATAATAAGCAGGGGGGAGAGGGGGGGGGAGGGGAATAACTTATTACGGATATTGCTGAGGTAACAGAGACGAAGAATAACTGAAGCAACGTCCTCGTCTTTTACCTTCGAGAGTTCCAGCTCGTTTCCATTTTCCAAGGAAAGAAAAAAAAAAAAAAGAAGAATGGGAGAGAATGGCCAATTATGTTGTAAATTTGCGACAAAGTGGAAAAGCGTGTCGAGTTAGATAGCTGGCCGCGAATGATGATTTCCCAAATTAAGAAAAATTTATTGTCGAACCAATGGGAAGGAGATTAAAGCCTCGAGTTGAAGAGTTCTCAAGATAATAAATCATCAAGCCGCTTGGAAAGTATATCGAAAATGAAGATTGAAGAGGCCGAAATAAAAGGGAAGGATCGCAAATGCTCAAGCCCTGTCAAATTTTCGTCCGAACAGGCGAATTCTCGCGACACGTGGAAATTGCTTTGATAAGGAAGCTACGGGAGAATTCCCGACGATATCGGCACTCGCCCGGGAATTTTCCGTCGAAATTTAAACTTTACACCGTCGAAAGGGGAACGTCGTTATCGCGGGAACAACAGGTAGAGGGCACACGAAACTCCGTTTCGCGGGTCTGACGTTTCGGGATCGAGTTGGCAATTTGCGCTGGACTGCGGAACTGTCTCCTCTAACTCGTTTAGCAGGGACGGCTATACTTACACCACTGTTCTGCGAACAGTTCCGCCCCCCGGAGAATAATAACGCCGATAATCGCGTCACACGCTGTAACTCAACCGTGACGCGATCTCTCGGCGCGTGTGTGTTTAGCACTGCGATAGGAACGTTGTTCGTTGCCCGTGACGTGTCACACTGCAAATGAATACCGTCGGGTGCGTTATACACCGTGTGTAAACTTTTTCGCGCGCAAATTTCCCCTTTCGGTGATTTTCAATATGCAAAGCATTGTTATTCGTTGGGCAACTTTTTAACTTTTAACTGCCCTGCTTTTTCAACACACACGTGCAAACGACATTATTCTTGCTTTTAATTTCAACATCGCTTTTGCGCTGTTTCGCGTTGTTGAAAAAAAAAAAAACAAAAAAAAGAAAATGTATCGTTATCGAGCATCGTTTTGAAACAAGCCTCTTTTGAAATGTAAGAGATACGGGCCAGTTAATTGGCGCAACGTCCTCCGAAACGTTCGCATTTTTTGAAGCCGCGGTGTTTCCAACTAGCTGGTCGGATAACGCTACAATAACATTAAAAGGCTCGTACATCGTTCGGAGTCTTCGCTGCGGAGAGAGGAACGCCTGTGATACCAGCGTCGAGCACGTTTTAATCTTCCGGCGAGATCAGAGGCTTGTGACGCCAATAACGCCGCACCACTTTATAGGTCGTTGCTCTTGGAACTTTCATCGATGAAAGACGCGTCCGAGAGAGTGACTGGTGACTCTCCCGTGTAATTTTCATTTCTAATAACGTTAACGTTGTTAAGGACAGTCACGACTGGTGCCGATCGTGCGCCTCTGCGTATATCATTTTGGGGCTCGAAGGATCACTCACTGTTTGTAAGAAACGAACAACTACGATTAATATGGACTGTTTTTATTGTGCGATAAACTTGATTCTACCTTGAATTATTAAAAATATTAAAGATCACTGATTTGAATACCTCGACTGCTGTTAAAAAGCTCCATATTGCTTAAAATATTATTATTATATAACTTCTTTATAAAAATTATATTATATTAACTTATTGTTATATAACTTCTTTATAAAAATATTATTATTATATAACTAACTGCTTAAAATATATTATTATATAACTTCTGCTCAAGTTATGTTCAAAAATAATGTTAACTTCTACTAACTTCTGCAATACATGTAAAGAACCTATCATAAAATTGACCTCGAACTTGAATCTCAAGATCAAAATTGCATTGTATTCTACTTATCACGAAAGTGAAACTTTTCCAAGGAATCTAATAGTTCTCTTGAAAAATCGTAAAAATAGTTTCTTAATTATTTAACGCATGCGTGCTAACAGCGACTTTATGGTTCTGGCCGCGTCTGTTTTATTACGCAATTTTCGTTAGATTTCATTAACATTTGATTTATCATAATTGTGGCATCGATGCGAGTCTAAATAGTCAAGTGATAAAACTGTTAACATTATTCGAAATATAAACAATACGCGTCCAGAATCATAAAGTCGCTGTTAGCACGCATGCGACAGTGTTAAATTTTGTTATTTTTCAAGAGAACTATTAGATTGTGACCTTGAAGAAGTTTTAACTTCGCAATGAGTGGAATACAATGGAAAAAAAAAA